GGGGTCCCTGGTGGCCCCACTATGGGGCAGGGGCCGTTCCCGCCCCCAGGCCCAGTGCCCGGGCTCGGCCGCCATCACCTGCCAGGCAAAAACAACCCAGATTTGGGGTAAAAACAGACGTTTTGGGGGTTACCCTCCCCTGACTGTTTTAGGTGGGGGGCTCAACACCCCATCCTGGTTTTTTTGAGGTGGGTTAAAAGCCAAATTGTGACCTTATTGGGGGTGGTTTCTGTGGGAAGGGGGTTAAAAACACTGCCTCCCCCCCTGGTTTGGGGAGGGGCTTTGAACCCCCAACACCCACCCGGGTATTTTGGGGGGGCTTAATTCCAACCCCTGCCATTCTGGGGGGAGGGCTTTAAACCCTCAAACCACCCTCTGCCATTTTGGGGGCCAAGGTGGGCTTTAAACACCCAACCCCACACAGCATTTGTTTTGGGGGTTGTAGGGTAAAACTCCCCAATCTGGGGGCTCAAAACTCCATCAGTTCTGCCCCAGAGCTGGTGTTGAGTATCTTGGCAGCAGCCAGTGCAACGTGGGGAGTCTACAGCTCCCCCCACCTGACCCAAAACCCCACTAATTCACCTTAAAAATACATATAAAAGGCAAATTTCCAAAAAACCCCACCATTCCCCAGCAGGGAAAGCAGCCCCAGGTGACAAACCCGCTGTAAAAATCCCAATTCCTTTGCAGTTGTTTGTTTTGTTGTGTTTTTTTTTCAATTCTTGCTGTCTATTTTTCGAGGGGCCTGGGGGAGCGGGTGGCTGTTTTTTGGGGTGAGATGAGGAGATTTAGGGGGTGTGTGGGCACTCACCTCCTCACAGCAGTGCCTGCTGACGACCGCCCGGTAACTCATCCGGGCCCAGAGCCGGTCCCGGCGCCGGAGGAACCGGGGGACGAGGCGGCGCCAGCGACGGCCCAAAGCCCAGGGGAAGATCCTGTACTTTTGCTCCTCCTCATCCTCCTCCATGTCATTCGCCAGGTACCTGAGAATGGGGGGGGGAAAAATGGGGGGAATTCAGGGGGTTTGGGGCAATTCGGCAGGTTGGGGTGAGCAGGGGAGGCAGCGTGGGAATCGCTGCCATGGATGGAGGGTGGGGTTTGATCCCCTTTTTTTTGGGGGGGGGAAGAGCACCCGGCTTCCTT